TTATTTCTTCAATGAAAGCGAAGCACGCTGCTCGCCTAGGAAATCAGAATTAAATTTGAAAATCTCTAAAACAAACATGTGTCCCACAGACTAAAACCAGACATGAGAATATATGTATTGAACATCACAAACTACACATGCGGTTGTTTCACATTTTATTCCATACATTAGGTATCATTACAAAGTTACACACATATTTTTCTCCCTTATAGTCAAACTCATGCAATTAAATAATGAAACTTAAACAGCCAAACTAGAAAATGTGACAAATATCTGAAAAGGTACCTATTTCATACTCATTCCAGTCCGAGGCTTAAAACCCATCAGCTATTTTCCTTTTGGTAAAAAATTGCCGCTGTCTCTCTTGGATAATGGAATATTCAACACTTGTTCTCAGATGAAAGCATTCAATGGTAATGTGTTTCATCATTAGGGTCACTGTTACTTCTTATTTGTGTTTTGATGTTAGAATGGCATCATTTAGGGTTCAAACAAAACCTGAGCCACGTCCATATTGATCGCCTTATTGGGTTTAATTCATTTTTTCGACGAGCGCCCGCTTCCCTCTTATAAAGAATTCCCTCGGCAAAACACATCAGAAAAAGTTCATAAACTTTGCTATAGTGATTTTGTAAAGAAAAGTTGGGCTTTGCCCCTGTTGTTGTTTCTTACATTATACATTATTGGTATCAAACGATTGTTAAACCAATAGATTAACAAAACAATATTTCGGGTTACACGGCTAATTAATTAGTCACTCTTACTATGCAACTGGAGCGAGGCTTTTTTACTTTGTTTAAAATTTTAGCTCAATATCAACGTTTGGCTTCCGTTGCTTATCGCCTGTTCTGCCACATTTCGCGAAGCCACTCATAAAACCATATTAGTATCGTCCAAATAAGGTACAAACAGGCGATTACACATGCCATAATTTTTTCAAAACACCACCCTAAGCATGAAATGAAAAGAGCACATAACAATCGACACAAACCCTCCTCACGAAGCCGCTCACAAAATCTTAGCATTGCCCAACTACAGCCCTGAATTTTTTCAAAACACCACTCTAAGCATGAAATGAAAAGAGCAGATAACCATGGACACCAACCCTCCTTACCAGGTTTCACCTCATTCACCTTACAATAAACGCCGCCAACACCATTAGTGATAAACAACACTTTGGCAACAGGTACTGACTTCCAATCTCGTCCCAGGTCCCGCACAGTTTTTTCAGATGGGCGCCATCCTTGGTCCCAACTTTGAACGTTTTCCTCATCATAAGAGATTTCTCCATGATGCATGTAGGTGTGTAGCAGAGTCATGCCCTCTGGGTTGTCTGCTGGTACAGTGCCAACGTCTGTTATTACTCGAGAAGCTGGGGATGGAGTTAAACAACATGTATGTTTATAACTGAAGCCATGTACGGCTTAGTGTAAACAGACGCAGTCAGTAGGACGTAGAGGGCGGAAAATGGAGCGAGGGACGTGGGAGTTGAGGTGCACAACAAGGGAGATGGTCTGTGGGGCGTAGGACGTCGAAATTGAAACAGACGACCCACGTTTAACCAAAAAACTAACAACAACTAAAATTAGAAAAGGTAAATGAATAAGATGCAAGGTCTCATGTTCAATAAAATTTCAATGGTTTCATGTCAGGTATTGCCAAAACAGAGCAGCCTGGTTGAAGTGTTCCCCTCTGAACTAGGCTTTCCCAGATATGCGCGCTGCAAGTTTGACGGAAACGTGGCAAAAACAGTATTCGGTATTTAAAGGTTTGGTTGATCCCAATGATTGGAAGAGCCTACTGTCGTCCGCTTACATGGCGGGAATTGGCGCATGAGTGATTTACTATGGCCAAGCCGCGCTGGCAAGCAGGGCACCCGTGAGATACAGATACTACTTAACTACTCTCTATTCTCCTCGCCGCCGCACGTGTGATATCGCGCCATGAGCCAAGACGCTCATGTTGCTGTTAATTAACCCTGGTTTGTAATTACGGTTGAATCCCACTGTCTGTAACTTTCAAGGGAAATAAAAATTGTTCGCGGGGTCTTGAGATAGCTGATAGTAAATTACTGAAAAAGCATACCCAGGGGAAAATGATTTGAGTTCAGATAGCGGGAAGTTTGAGATATCGGACAACTGTAATTATAACCCCCACACCTCCCAATCTGGCCACAATCCGTCCGGGAGCTATTCTATTCCTGGCAAATATAGACTTTAAATCCTTACTCCAGTAGTAGAAACTGCAGCTATCCATCATATATGTTTTGATAGCATAGCCAGACAGGAATTACCAAAAATTCCCCGAACGTAATTGTACCTCCATAACTGGGTTCGTCCAGGTCAACTGGGAACTCACTTTTTTTATCGTTTGGTCTTCGTGGACGGCTGCCAGTTTCAGAATGTGGTAGAAGAGGTTCTCTATCATCTGTGTGCAGAGGCTATGTCATAAACATGTAAAGAAATAAAGGTCAATAAACGTAATGAGTGGAAGGAGGGAGGAGGAAAGAGGGAAAACAGGAAGACAAGGAAGCTAAAGAGGAAGGGAGGGGGAGGAATGAACGACAAAATGACTAAAAATACTTTATGAATGAATGGATGGACGAAACGATAAGCAAACAAACTAGGAACTAACGACTGAATGACTAATACAGTAATCGACTGACTGACCGACTGACTGACTGAATGACTAACAGATCGACTAACAAACTGACTGACTGACTGACTGACTGAATAAATGAACGACTGACGATCCGAAAGATCGACTGACTAAATAAACGAATGACTGACTGACGGATCGAAAGATCGAAAGATCGACAGATCGACTGATCGACAGATCGACAGATCGACTGATCGACTGATCGACTGATCGACTGATCGACTGATCGACTGATCGACTGATCGACTGATCGACTGATCGACTGATCGACTGATCGACTGATCGACTGATCGACTGACTGGCTAAAGGACTGACTGATCGACTGATTGACTGACTGACTGACTGATCGACTGATCGACTGACTGACTGACTGAAGGACTGACTGATCGACTGATCGACTGAGTGGCTGACTTACTGACTGACTGACTGACTGACTGACTGACTGACTGAAGGACTGAAGGACTGACTGATCGACTGACTGACTGACTGTTCGACTGACTGACTGATTGGCAAACAAACTGAATGATTGACAAACAGACTGACTGACTGACTGATTCTGAATATTTCTCTTTCTGCCAGCACATTTTTAGGCCCATTCCATTTAATGATTTTCCAGTTACTACCATTCTCTCGTCAAAAGAAAATCACCAATGATAGCGACAACAAGTTTAACTTATGGTGTCATTTCATACCTCTTCATCGTTTTCAAGGGCTGGTTCTGGCAACGGCACTGGTTTTGGTTTTGGTTGATGTTCAAACTTCTGTCCTTTCTTGCTTGGATCAAAGTAATGCAGCAGCGCTTCTTCGTGGATCTCACGGTGTTGTTTGTTCCATGATAAGATGAAACTTCTTCTTCCATCGAGGCACTCCTCATTGAACTGTGAAGCCACTTTCCTTCGAGCCCAACGCGAGATCACAGTACGTTCTTCTTCGTCTTCTCCTCTGTATTGATCGTCTCCACCAATCACTATCAAAACTCTGCCACCTTGAAAGAAATAATAATAGTCTAATAAGTCCTATATTTACGTTTAGCCAACTGATCTACTTACTTGCAATATTACATTTTGCATCGTTCTTTGTAAACACAGGAATGACATCTCATTGCATTTTTTGGTCTTTAAATCATGCAATAATACGAGAATCAGTTGTACGTGTACGTCATTGTTTACAATTATCTTGATGCAAACAAACACTAATTTTAATCCTCCTAAACGTACTCTTGCTTTCTAGCTACTTAAATGTGTACAGCCGTGCACCGTGACATTCTGAAAACACGAAGATCATGAAGTATAACTCTTCATTTTGACTTGACCTGTGGCGGAGGCGAAAGCGAAAGTGTTTACACTCCAAATTGGACTCTGATCGATCTCGGTCTGATCTAAAACCGGATCGGGTTTCTATCATTGTTCGATGAACTTTATCCTTGCATGATGTTTGTCTTAACCGTTTAGAACCTGTAAAATTAAGAATGATGTCTTGTTTTGTTACAGTCGTTTTACTCCTGCTTCCGTTGTTTCAACCTCTTCCATCATGGCCGTTGTGTCGTTGTTGGGGCTCCCTGTCATTTGTCCATAGTGCAATACATACTGATAGGGCGCAAAAATTGCATGGGGGTTGTCTGTTGTGAATCGAAAGCAATGGCGGCCGTTTTTTCGTCTTTCCGCCGCCATACAGAACCAAAATATAAAATTGAATGAAGAGGATGAACAGATTTTAATTTTCATGTTTTAATATATTCCCTTCGAGATGTGGAATTTGCACCATTCCATATTTAAGAAACTCCAGCCGAAAAATCTCAATGAACGCAACCTTTTCTATTTTTCCACGAAAACGATTTTACGAAGAAAACATTGATCAAAACAGTTATTTCAAGCGAAAGTGTTTACACTCCAAATTGGACTCTGATCGATCTCGTTCTGATCTAAAACCGGATCGGGTTTCTATCATTGTTCGATGAACTTTATCCTTGCATGATGTTTGTCTTAACCGTTTAGAACCGCTAAAATTAAGAATGATGTCTTGTTTTCTTTCCAATCGTTTCACTCATGCTTCCGTTGCTTCAAACTCTTCCATCATGTCTCGTTGTAGGGGCTCCCTGTCATTTGTCCGTAGTGCGATACATACTGATAGGGCGCGAAAATTGCATGGGGCTGTCTGCTGTGAATCGAAAGCAAAGGCAGCCGTTTTCTCTTCATTCCGCCGCCATACAGAACCAAAATATACAATTGAATGAAGAGGAAGAATAGATTTTAATTTTTATGTTTTAGTATATTCCTTTCGATATGCGGAGTCTGCATTATTCCATATTTACAGACAAACCAAGTAAAGGGTACCCCTTAACATTACATTAGTGAATTGATTATTTGGACATTGAAGACGCTAGTCGTTTCAAGAATGCAATAATGAATTGATTATTAGAATATGGAACCCACCAGTCGTTTCGGGAATGCAATAATGAATTGATTTTTCGAATACAGAACCCGTTAGTCGTATTCTTGGAACGGGCGAGAGAGTTCAATATTCGATTAATCAATTCATTATTGCATTCTTGAAACGACTCGCGGGTTCAAATTCAAATAATCAATTCATTAATGTAATCTTGAGGAGTACGCTTCACTCGGTTTGACTGGAAGAAACTCCAGCCGAAAAACGTCAATGAACGCAACGTTTTCCATTTTTCCAATAAAACGATATTACAAAGAAAACATTGATCAAAACACTTATTTCATTTTT